TATTAGGTAATCTAGAGAGTTCATAAAAAACCTGTTTTGTGGTAACATGTTTTGTGGTCAAGTGAAAGATAGGCACCCCCATGGGTCTAAGGTATGCTTTTGATACTCAAGCTTGTGAGTTTAGTACTTGATTTATCTTTGAGAGATATACTGACTTGATCGTCGGAGTGCCCCCGGGTGGTCGAAACCACCGCGGGATTCTTATATTTCTGTTGCAAGTCAGTCAGGTGCCATCTATTCTGCTAGTGCTCTCCAGCTGGTTACTAAGCGGGCAGTGTGGTCGGAAAATTACCCACACAGCTACAGAGCCCGAATGGGCAGTGGCTCAAATGGCTCAAAAAAAGTTTCCCTCCGAAAATATGATGTACGTGGAGGTCACGTGTACTGGTTTGGAGATCAAACAAGTAAAGGAAAAATAAAACATAAAAGAGAGGAGAGAAGAGAGAGAGAGGAGAAAACCAACAGGAGGACATCGACGACAAAGACGAGAACGACGACATGGGTGTTCATTGACGACCACTGACCTGGTGTTGATCGACGACCGTCGCTGATCACCGTCCACCTCTCTTTTCCATTCCCACATTTGCAGCTTGTGAAGTAAGCTATTGTTCTGTTTGTTTTTATTTTTGTTTTTGTTTTTTATTTTTTTTATTTGAGATGCATTTGTGAGAGGAATAATGGATATGCCGCATTGTGTGACTTGATGTCTGTAAAAAAAAAAAGAAAAAAAAAAAATTGGTTATTCTAGAATCAGACCCTCGGTTAAACATCTTCCATTATATTGACGCATTCCAAGTGTTTGATGAAAGTTCGTATAGAGAAATTATGCCTGATTTTATTATTCCTTTACTTCCTAAAGTTCCTATTAGGAAAATTGTATTATGTTGGAGAATAGGCAATTTTTATGTTTAATAGAGAATAAGCAAATTGTGTTATGTTTAACAGAGAAAAAACATTCACAAGAAAATTGTATTCTGTCCTTACTGATTTTAGGATATCAAAATTGAAATGTTGTATGGAGAATAAGCAATTAAAAGAAGCAATTTTAAAATAAACTGATTCCTGTTCTATGCTATATGAAGAACCTTAATGTTATAAAAATATTATGTTGGAGAACCTTACTGATTTTAGGATAGAAAAATTGAAATGTTGTTCGTGAACCTTACTGATAATATTAAGTTAAGATTTGCATTAGATTATCATCTCACTACATTCACTTACACTTTATGTTCTGTCTAGTTACTGGTTATGTTCTGTCTAGTTACTGGTTATGTTCTTTGAATTTTGGTTTCAAGTTACACGCTTCAATGGACATTGGTTCAAACAATCCTTCATTGAATGGGACTGATGAAGTTGAAGAAGCGGAGAACAATCCATTAGTAAATGAGATTGGTGAAATTGAAGAACTTAAGAAGGGAATGTGTTTTAACTTAAAGCAAGAAATATATGCATTTTATGCCACATATACGAAACACCTCGGATTTGCTGTAGCTTATAGAACACAAAATATTGGACAAGCTAGGGAAGTAAAATACTTTGGAATTGAATGTACTCGGGCACGTAAGAGAACAAAACGATCAGAAGTACACCCTCTCGAACCATTTTTGTCATTATTCATTGAATGTGAAGCAAAGGTTAAAGTGACTCTACAAAAGGATGGAAGATTAAGTTAACCACAGTTGTGCTTGAACATACGCATGACTTGATTCCTACTGACTCGCGTCATTTTGCAATGAATAAAAGAATTCTTACTTCTGTGAAGAGAAGACTAGAAATAAACGATGAAGCAGGGATAGGAGTGGCTCGGAATTTTCATTCTATAGTTGTTGAAGCAGGGAGGTACGAGGCATTAACATTTGATGAACGAGATGCAAGGAATCACATTGAGAGCATGAGAAGATTGAGGCTAGGGGTAAGAGATACTGAATCAGTTGTACTTTATTTTCATAGGATCCAACAACAAAATTCGAACTTCTATTCTGCAAATGACCTTGATGAAGATGGTCGTATGCGAAACTTGTTTTAGGCTGATGCAAGGAGTAGGGTAACTTATAAAGCATTTGGGTATCTGGTTTCATTTGACACAACCTATCTCACAAACAAATATGATATGCCATTTGCTCTGTTTGTGGGAGTTAATCATCATGGGCAGTCAATTTTGCTTGGTTGTGGGATGTCATGTAATGAGAGCACTGAAACATTTGTGTGGCTATTCAGAGAATGGTTAAGTTGTACGTCAGACGCTCCTCCAAAAGCTATAATAATGGACCAGTGCAGAGCTATGCAAAATGCCATTGAAGTTGTATTTCTACAAGCTCGACATCGTTGGTGCTTATGGCACATAATGAACAAAATTTTGGAGAAATTGAGAGAATATGCCCAATATGAATCCATCAAGTTTGCTTTGCAAATTGCAGTTTATGATTCTTTTACAAAAGATGAATTTGATGAAGAATGGCAAGCGATGATTGCAAAGTTCAATCTGGATGATAATGAGTGGTTGGGGTTCTGATACAGTGAGCGACATAGGTGGATTCCTGCCTATGTTAAGGACGTTTTTTGGGCTGGCATGTCGACTACACAGCGAAGTGAGAGTATGAATGGATCTTTTGATAGATATGTGAACTCAAAGACAACTTTAAAGCAATTTGTTGAACAATATGACAATGCATTGAGAAGTAAGGTCAAGAAAGAGACGAAAGCAGACTTTAAATCTCGAAACAAATTGTATGATTGTTTAATGATATATGAGTTTGAGAAGCAATTTCGTGTAGCCTACACGAATGTAAAATTTAAAGAAGTGCAAGTAGAATTGAAGCGACTATTGTATTGTCGTGCGAATCTTGTCAAAGAGGAGGGAGCAATTTGTACTTATCATGTGAAGGAGGCTGTTCTCATTAGTGAGAAAATGAAGACTGTGGAATTTGTTGTTTATTTTAATTCAAGTGAATATGAAATGTAATGTATGTGTTGGTGGTTTGAGTTTAGGGGCATTATGTGTGCCCATGCAATTACTGTGCTACTTGAGAGGTACATATATCAGGTTCCAGATAAATACATTATATCAAGATGGAGAAAAGATGTGGATCCAAATGTGCCATTTTTTTTTTTAGTTTCCAAATTTTGTATTTTTTTTTTTTTTTGTAAACAATGGATCAGAAACTTGTTCAACTAGATTGTGTTAATCAAATTGTGTTGAGCTAGATTGGATATATGAAAATGGGTTAATCAGATTGTGGCAAGGTACAAAAAGAAAGCACTTACCCTTATTTTTAATTCTAATTAATTTTCTTATTAAGGAAAATTAGACAGTATTGCTCTTTGTATTGAATTTATTCCCTTATTGTGCAGTCATTTTACTTGCCCGGATCAGTAGATGTGCATGTGCAGCAAATGGAGCAGTGGAATTGGAAGGCACCACCTCTGATGATAATGAAGGAGCTAGAGCAAATGCCCCCAACATGCAACAGGAGAGCCCATCTCCCTTGGTTGATGGATGTGGTGGGCCACCTCTTGAAATTGATGAGATGTACATGGACATGGAACTGCTAACTCCTCCAAACTTTCCATGTAATGATACACGTCTCAAAAGCTTGAGACCCCATCTACCTTGGCAGATTGTTATTTGTTTTGTAACTTATACTATTTGTTTTGTAAGTGATGTCAAATTAGATATTCTCTTATTCAATTAAGTGATGTCTAAGTATTTTGCATGGGTGGTATAAAATTAAGTTTGTTTGACAAATTCCCTCAACCATATTCTAATGCTGCTATTCTAAATTTATAGTGAAATTCCTTTAGAAATTCCTTCAGTTTGTTTCATAAATTACTGTGTTAGATTATGTTCTTAAATGACTAGCCGAAAACAAAACAAGAAAACTAATAGCACATTACATCCATAATTAAATTCCTACGACACCCCATTCAATTAAATTGCTAACATCCAACATGTCCATTACATTCATAATTACATTCATCAAATTTCCTAAAAACTAACAGTCAAGTGTCTTACATAATAAAGTACAAAATGATACAAACTACGAAAACATAAATCATAGCCTTGAAATTCTTGTCCATCCTTTGAAGCCACCATGGTCACGAATCTCATTTTCCATCTCAGAAAGCCTTGTTCTTACATCATTCAATTCTTCTGTTTGGTTAGCTTTATGAGGTCCAATATTGGAATGGATTGTGGAAGTAACGTCCCCATCATCATCATCCGCAAACTTAAAGTAATTGCAGTGTTCTTTGTTACTCTAGAATGCATGACAATCAATTAATCAAATTACATAAATAATTTCTAACAGACTACAAGTTTAATTTCATAACACATACTTACATATTTTGATGAGCAAACAAAAAAGAGATGCCCTTGATTTTCCATTCTCATTGGTTCGTACAATATATATTGCAGCTGTTCTCCCACAATCACACATTCTTGGTTTTAATCTAATGTTAATATTGTTAGTTGAAGAAGAAGCCATTTTTAATCTGCAAAAAACAATACAAAACCCAGTTCAATTCCTTTCCTTTCTTCTTGATTTCAAATACACCATTCACAAGTTCACCATTAACAATTTCTATGTGGACTTTCATCAAACATAATTTTTCTATGTAGACTTTGTGAAAGATGGCTTCTTGATTTTTCCTTGTAAAACATTCACAAATAAAACCTATGTTAAAAATAATTCTGGCTTCTTCATTTTTCCTAGTTAAACATTCACAAATCAAACCTATGTTAAACATAATTCTAGCTTCTTGATTTTCCTTGTTAAACATTAACAAATAAAATACATGCCGAATCAGTTGCTTCTTGATTTTTCCTGGTTAAACATTCACAAATCAAATAAATCAAACCTATGTTAAACATAATTCTAGCTTCTTGATTTTCCTTGTTAAACATTAACAAATAAAATAGATGCCGAATCAGTTGCTTCTTGATTTTTCCTTGTTAAACATTCACAAATAAAATAGATGTTTCCTGATATTTCCTTGTTACACATTCAGAAATTGATTTTTCAATTCCTTATTAAATATTCACAAATTGATTTTTCCTTGTTAAACGTTTAGAAATCCCTTTCTGTTTTAATCTAATGGAAGATGTTTACCACAAAGTCTCACTATAGAATAAGCACAATTTTTATTTGTTTATTTATTTATTACAAACATCACATTTCAATTCAGAATATAAAATCAGGCATAATTTCTATGTGGACTTTCATCAAACAATTGGAATGCATCAATACAATGGAAGATGTTTAACATAGGGATCTGATTTCATAACAACCAAAACGAAACAAAACAAAAAAATTACATAGAATACCGAAGAACAAAATCAGTTGGGGACTTTCATCAAACACTTGGAATGCATCAATATAATGGAAGATGTTTAACCAAGGGTCTGATTCCAGAACAACCAATTTTTTTTTTTTTTTTTTTTTTTTTTTTTTTTTTTTTTTTTACAGACATCAAGTCACACAATTTGACATATCCATTGTTCCTCTCACAAATGCATCTCAAATAAAAAAACAAACAAACAAACAAACAAACAAACAAATTGAACAATAGCTTACTTCACTAGCTGCAAGTGTGGGGCAAAATACAAAACCCTCAATCATCAAACCCTAGTTTTGAGTTTACAGAGTTTACCTGAGATTGGAAGGAGAGAGGAGGTGATAGAACAACTTCTTTTCGGCGTCGTCTCGGAGGAGATAGACTCGAATGATTCGGAAGAATGATGACAAACAAAGCAATAGAGAGAGAGAGAGAGTTTGAGAGTTTGGGTATGAGAAGAAAAATGAGGATAGAGGGTGAAATAGTTTGGATATGAGAAGAAGAAAAATGAAGACAGAGGGTGAGATAGGCGAGATAGGCATGTGAGCCCACGTTTTTGGTCCATTCGAGCCAAAGTATTCGAGCCCTAAAGCAATTTTCTTTTTAATATTTGGGGAAATTACCCATAGGTCCCATGTGGAACATATGGACACCATTTAATCCCATAACTTTTTGAGTACACCCAAAAGTCCTTTCCTCTCTCTCTCTATTTTTTGCTTCCCTTCCTCTCTCCTTTTTTTTCTGCATTTTTCTCTCATCGTCTTTGTCGTGGACGACGACCGGTGATCATGTCTTTCTACATTGATCGGGGTTCACTGATAACCGCCAACCATCGAAATCAACTCGTGAAATCACTCTCACCGACGACGAAGATAATATATTTCCGACGAAAAAGATGATATATTTCCGACAAAGAAGATGAGTGGATGTACTTAGATCTGATGTAGATTTACTCAGATCTACATCAGATCTGAGTAGATCTACATCAGATTTGGCTAGATCTAAACAAAAAATAGTTACCGGAGTACAATCCTCTCTCTACATGCGCCTTTCTCCTTCGATCTCTTTTTTTTTTTCTCTGCTATACACTTCTATTTTTCTGTTCTAATGGAGAAAATTTTCGAATTCTGAACAAGTAGTTTTCGAATTTTAGTTACAAGCGGTGAAAACTGTAAAATTTTGCAGTTTCAAATTTTTTTGGTGCTGGAATGAATCATGGTATAAAACTGTAAAATTTTACAATTTCATAATATGTTTTTCAGTTTGATTAATAAGGATAAATGCTTAATAGATTTTTGTTTTGAAACTGTAACATTTTACAGTTTCAAAACTTACTTTTCAGTTTGATCACTATTTAGAGATTATTTGCTTGAACCTTACAAAAATTGAAAAATAACATATGTTTTCCCCATTGTTGCTGTTTTTTGTCGTTTCATTTTTTTTCCTTTTAGTTTATCAATATTTAGCACATTTTGCTATGTTTTTTTTGCTATAATTTATCCATTTATTCTTTTTTTTTTCGGCAATATTCTAGACATTCCGGTGAGTCTCCAGTGATGTTCTTAACGTCCAGTGAACGTTCTGAACATTCCGGCGACTTCCATTAACGTTCTTAACACTCCGGCGAACTTCCGGCGAAACTCCGGCGACTTCCCGGTGATACTCCGGCGACTTCCTGGCGATGTTGAACATTCCGACGAGTCTCCGGCGACCGTTTGATGAAAGCCTTACGGTAGTAAGATGTGAACAGTGTCTGTAAATTAAAAAAAAAAAAAAGATTTTTTGGTAACAATTAAAAATGTATTAGACTAATTGGTGCTAGTATTTTGTTTTGGGATTAACTGGGTTTTGAACTTGTTACATGGGACTTATGAGTAAGTTCCCCTTAATATTTAAATAATTGAGAAAAGAATCACAAAGATCTTATAATGTTTTTAGGACAAAATTTATTTTACCTCCCTGTGGTATAACTTAAGGTCCCGTTTGTTTGGGGTTATAGAGAGGGGACTAGGATCGATAGTGAGGTGGAACTCACTATATGTTATTATATTTTAAGAGATAGGGAGGGAACTCCTAATCTCTTGGTATTAGGATAGGCCTAGAAAGGGGGATTGAGATGGAGCAAGTGGAGGTGGTATTAGAAAAATAGTCCGTCAAACTATTTTTTTTATAACTTTTGTTAGCATGTTGGGCATTTTTTTGAACATTAATGTTTAATTTTTTGTGTTTTTTTGTTAAGTAAAAATCATTGTTTTATTTGTTTTATTTTTTTCTGAAATTTATTTATTTATTTATTTTTATTTTTTTACATGTTGGGCATTTTTTTAAAACCTTAATGTTTAATATTTTCGTATTTTTATATTTGTTTTATTATTTTATAATTATTTTATATAAAAATAATTTAATAATCCCTACACTAACAACTATCATCAAAACAAATACAATTTTACTTAATCCCCTCACTAATAATCCCCACTTGATCCCCTTATTATGAATCCCCTCCATTCTACCTTTGAAAACAAATGGGGCCAAATAGTATTTGACCCCCTTATCTTTTAAAAATAGCCATATGCCTCCCATGTGATTTTGGACTAAAATGTAACTGTTAACACCATTAACTTTATATGTGAAATGACCATAATACTCTCAAACCCTATATTTTTTTGTTATTTTATTTCTATTTCTTTTCTCATACACATAATTTATAATGTCTAGTATTAATTAAATTAAATTAAAATTAATTATAAATTACAAATTATTTATTCTAATTTTAATTTAATTAGATTTTAGATCACAATTAATCCTAAATATTTAATTATTTATGTTGACTACTAACTTTTTAATCTAATTTTAATTTAATTATATTTTAGATGACAATTAATCCTAAATTCTTAATTATTTATTATAATTCCTAACATGTTAATTTAATTTTAATTTGATTACATTCTAGATCAATTTTTTATTATTGTTTATTTTCTATTTTATTTAATTATAAAAATTAATTAATTATTATATTTTAGTTTAATTTATTTTATTTTAATTAACATATTAATCTAATTTTAGATTTGGAGAAAATAGGGATAAAATTATCATTTTGTTATATTAATTTTATTCTAATTTTTTTGAAAACAAAATCCATTCTAAAAAATGGTGTGTGTAATACACATTCCGTTAGTTTAGATGAAGAAATTAATGATATCAAGTTTTAGATTCAGTTAGTTCAGTTGGTAGCTAAAATTCAGTTTGAGAGAGAGAATTAGTTGAGAGTTGTTTGATTGTTAGGGGGTTAGTTGGTTATGAGGTTTGTTAGTTAGTTAGTATTGGATAGAGTTATTCCAGCTGTACATAGCTACAGTTGTGGGGGGAAAAAGGGGGAGGATTTGACTGTAATCAAGTTTTCTGAAAAGGGGTAAATGGACTCCAAATTTAGTTTTCCATTTTCTTTCTTCTATTTCTTCAGTTACTGCTTTCTTCTTCCATAGTCATATCAATTGGTATCAGAGCAAGGCTATTCTTGGTCTGTAAGAGAGATTCCACAGAAATGGCAAATGGGACTAGGGCACAAGAATAAAAAAAAGATCAATGAAGCAATACGAACTCTTAAAGACAACAGTGATAGGCAAGCACAGGATATCAGAGAGATCAGAAATTCATTGAAAGATATGAATGAAATCAAGGAATTGATTTTTGCCATGAATGCCAAGTATGATCAAATGGCAAATGGAGTTTTTGGAAATCATCCAGAAACCATGGAAACACTACAACAAAATGCACCTTTGGCGACCAAAATTAACGACTAAAAAAAATTTAGTCACCAATTTTTTTTAGTTGCCAAAAGTTGTGGAATTGGTGACCAAAAATTCTTGTAGTCAACAAAAATACAATATTTAGCTACTAATTTTTTTTAGTCGGGGTATATTGATTATTGGCGACTAAAAAAAATTTAGTCGCTAAAAATAAAAGAATTGGTGACAAAAAAAATATTTTAGTTGTTGTATATTGAGTTTTAGTTACTGAAACAATTTAGTTGCCAAATGGAAAATAAAAAATTATTTTTTATCTTTGGCAACCAAACTTTTGGTCGCCAAAAACATATTTTTAGTTACAAAAAAAATTTTAGTCACCGTATATTGAGTTTTGGCTACTAAAACAATTTAGTCGCCAAATGTAAAATAAAAAATTATTTTCTATCTTTGGTTGCCAAAAACATATTTTTAGCGACAAAAAAATATTTTAGTCGCCGTATATTGAGTTTTGGCTACTAAAACCATTTAGTCACCGAATGAAAAATAAAAAAATATTTTTTATCTTTGGCAACCAAAAGTTTGGTTGCCAAAAACTTATTTTCAGCGACAAAAAAATATTTTAGTCACCAAAAAACTAAAATATTTGGAGGGAGACCTTTCAAATTTTGGAGGGATTTACCAAATTAATTGGTGACTAAAAATATTTAGTCTCTAATGGTGTAATATATATATATATATATATATTTGGTTTTCAAACCCAAACCAGCTCCTCTATCTCTCTCTCTCTCTCTCTCCCCCTCTGTCTCTTCCTCTACCTCTCCCTTTCTGCTGCTCCTCTTCCCTCCCTCACGGTTGCCTACAACCGGAGCACCGATTCACCTCCTTGTTGGTCACCGTTGCCTGAGATCCATCACCCAAGGAAGCTCGATCGGCGGCTCGTCCCTCGCAGCTCCTCACATTGCAAGGTTTTTATCTCCCTCTCTCTAATCGACTGATATGTATATATATAATAATCTCTACACCGATTGTGAGATCAAGACTTGTCTTCTCATTTCTTACACCAGCAACACTTTCCCCACTGTGAGTCACCATATCTATCTCTCTGGTTCTATATTTGTTGTATTTTTGTCTTTTGTTATGTTAAAGCTTTGGCTTTGTTAGGTCCCTTAGTCTTGCCAATCCCGCGAACAGACTTGAGTTGTTGAGTTGTATTTTTCCATTCTGTTTTTTGTTCCTCGCTCGAGCCAAGGAGTCCTTGCTCGAGCGAAGAGTGCGTCTGGTAAAAAATCTGAGAGTGATGAGTGTACACTCGAGCGCAGGTTGCGTGGCTCGAGCGAAGCCACTTGTGGAAATCATGCGAGATAAGCTCCTCGCTCGAGTGAGAGATTCTTCGCTCAAGCGAGCTTCATAATCTCAGATTTCTATAAGTATCTATTTTAATCCTAAACTAGGATTAGGTTTTTGGAGATCCACTTTAAGGTTTTCTAAGGTTTTCTTTGAGAGTAGTTTTCTAGTTTTCCTTGATATTATTGAGTGGGTTTTAAACCGATGATCTGAGATACATACATCAAGGAGTTTGTTTTCTTCATATTAAAGAGAGTTCTTCTTCGGTGGATTCCGGAGATTCAAAC